ACCCCCCTGTGTTACAGCTCAGTTTATATTTTCCATTTGATTGATACCCCCCTCAGTATGATCGTTAATTGCCACGAAAATTTTTCACATACACATCCCTAAGTAAACGAACGTGGAAAAAATATAGATAACTCTGCTATTAGTGTTAATATATATATAATTATAATATAATTAGTGTTAATAAAAATATATAATAACTCTGCTATTAGACCGGTCCCATACCCACCAATCACTGACCGCTCAAAATATCTACATTCACCTAAAAGAAGAAAAATCAAGGCATTCCATTACCATACTACTTGTGTAAAGGAGGACATGTATATGTTTATCTCTCAGAATGTTTGGTAATATGTTTATTGTTTGTGATGTGTGTCTATGTATATTTTAACATGATGTACTGAACTGGGTGAGAATAGCTTGAGCTACCTCATCCCTTTGTGTGTATTTTATCTCAATAAACTTATTTCTATTTCAATTTCAATTCGACTTATCCAAGTCCCCCCCCCTCCACCCTAGGCCAACTATATTGTGTCGGGGGGACAGGCAGCCTGAGTGTATTCATACACGTTAGGCTTATATCGAGGTCCTCCCCCTCTCCGATAGTCGAATTACAGACCCACCCAGAATGCAACCCCACAACAAGCTGACTAACTCCTGAGTACCACCTACTTACTGTTAGGTGAACAGGTGCATTAGGTGAAAGGAAATACGCTCAACTATTTCTGTCCCGCCCGGGATTCTCGATTGTACGTCGAGAACGAACCCGACTCTACTACTGGGACCCTTAATATACCTGTACTGACCTTCACCAGGCTGCAACCCACAATAGTTGCCTAATTACACTACACCACAGTCTCCGTGGTGTAGTGGTAAGACACTCGCCTGGCGTTCCGCGAGCGCTATGTCATGGGTTCGTATCCTGGCCGGGGAGGATTTACTGGGCGCAATTCCTTAACTGTAGCCTCTGTTTAACTCAACAGTAAAATGTGTACTTGGTTGTAACAAGGATTCTTCGCGGCGGGGATCGTATTCCAGGGACCTGCCCGAAACGCTACGCGTACTAGTGGCTTTACAAGAATGTAACAACTCTTGTATATATCTCAAATCTCAAAAAAATTCACGGGTGCCTATTTTACAGCCTGGCGTCAGGTAACACGCCCAATCGTTTCTGTCCTACCTGGGGATTGAACCCGGGTCCTTGGATTATGAATCGAAGACCCAGGACCAAGTACCGTAGCGCTATTATGCTTGCATTACTGAAATATTATCATGACTACTGTCATTTTATCATAAATTTAAGGCAAATTAAAGCTGACTAGTTTATCATAAAAGTAAAATGCTTTTCTTAAACAATAGCGCAATATATCAAGTCCACTTCATGAAACATATATTTGATTAACCTATCAGCCTCCACCACACGATGGGTACGGCCTCCATGACAAAATATAAAATCATGCAGGTCTTGAACAGTATATAATCCACTTTTAATCTAATGTTATATTGTTCGCGTTGATAATGTGTTCACAAGACTCGACCCAACGTCATTCCTGAAGACTACTGGCACTGAAAAGTTTCGTGTCTTATTTATTTATTTATTTATATATATACAAGAAGGTACATTGGGTTTGTGAGAATACATTGGATAGTACAGTATTTACATTCTTGTAAAGCCACTATAGTACGCGCAGCGTTTCGGGCAGGTCCTTAATCTAGCAGATAATTTTAAGTAGGTAATATATAACCTTCAGTACTAAACAGATGGAGAAAAATGTGCTACATTAAGGTATAAGCTTAAGTAACTTACCGGGGACGTAGAGTTATAGCTTCCCTGCAGCAGTGCGCGCGGCGTCAGCCTCTTGGACACTCTACCTCCTCACTAACCTTATCAAGCAGTCAACATATCCTGGAGCTCAGCGTTACCACACTACACCTGTTTCCTGCCTCCCTCCCACACTCCCTCTCACTCCTTCTTAAACTTTAGCAAGATAGTTGATTTAAACAAATATCTTTAATTAAAATAAAGTGATAACTTACAAACAGCTTTATTCCTACTTTGTAAAATTCAACATATTAAGTCCCTGCCAGTTTGGCTTCCGTTCCCAAAATGATGCCATTATTTTATTATAATCCGTTTACCAATGATCCGTTTACCGTTTAAATGATCCGATCCGTTTATATAATTATCCGTTTACCAATGATGCCATTATTTTAATATAATCTACACAGCCCTTGACAAAAATGAGTTCCTAATTGGCCTCTTCGTTGACCGGAGAAAAGCATTTGATACTGTAAACCATAATTATCTCTTACTTAAACTTCAACATTATGGTATCCGAAGCCTTGCTCTGAACTATATAATAGCCAGACGGATGGCTGGCAGATCTGGCCAGCCAAGACAGCCACATGGCCGGCTTGACCAGCCAGGCCAGCCGGCCCGCCAGACGTCCGTAGGAGGGGTAAAAGCTTTAGTTACACGGGTCAAGGTTTTACAAAATTTAGGAAGGGGCACCCTCCACAGGGGCAAAGACGGAACGACATGAGGGGAAATATTAGTAATACGAACCTAAAGAGCATCTTGTAAGTGAGACAATCTTACAGAAAGAGATAGGTGGTGAAGGGGAACAGGAACCACAGGAGGGGTAAAATGTCAAGGCACGACATAAGCGAGAGGGTGTTGTAAGGACCGTGCAAGGTAGCGAAGACAGTAGTGATCATGGCGATCCTGTAGACAGGATGCCAGTTTCAACATACAGGCTGAGGGTAGAAGTGGAACGAAAGGCACCAGAGCTGAGGTGTAACCCAGTATGGCTCAGAGCGTCAAAACGGCGAAGGGTAGAAGGAGAAGCAGACGAGTAAGCAGGACAACCATAATCAAGTTTAGACAGAACGAGAGAGGAATGCAAGGAGAGGAGCATACGCCTATCAGCTCCCCAAGAAGTATGAGACAAGACCTTAAATAAGTTAAGGGCCTTAGAGCATTCGACTCGGAGGTAAGAGATATGGGGCAACCAAGACAATCGAGTGTCAAAGATTAGCCCGAAAAGCTTAGAAGAATCTCTGTACAAAAGGGGTAAAAGAATCTCTGACCATATAGCGACAGAGGGAGACGGCAAACGACCTGCTTCCGAGTAAAAGTCATAGCACAAGTTTTAGTGGTACAGAACTTGAAGCCATGATTAGTGGCCCAAGACGTTACGGCATCAATCACAAGTTGAAGCCGCTGTTGAAGGATTTTCGAATCATCACCTCGACAGCAGAGAATAAGATCGTCAACATAAGAGGCCATAGAAAATGTCAGAAGGATGGGAAGAAATAAGACCATTCAGAGCAACCAGGAAAAAAGAGTAATGCTCACAACACTACCTTGGGGTACACCTTCGTATTGCTGAAAAAGAGGCAGAGAGAGTGGTACCAAGCCTCACTCTAAAGGAACGAATAGGCAGGAAGAGTTGGAGGAAGAGAGGGAGATTACCACGAAGGATAAAAGAACGGACTTGGGACAGAATATGGTACCTCCAGATGGTGTCATATGTCTTTTCCAGGTATAAAAAATACAACAACAATAGAAGTCTTCGCAGCAAAAGCCGTACGAATATAGACCAAGTTCACAAAGAAATCAGTAGTGCTGTGGCACTTGCAAAAACAAATTGAGAAGGGAAGAGGTGGTGGAAGTGTTCTAAGAGCCACATCAGACGGACAATGACCATGCATTCAAAGAGTTTGCAGACGCAACTTGTGAGGATAATTGGGCAGAAGTCCTTAGGGGATATCCCTAGAGACGCTGGTTTCCGAAAAGGGAGAACATCCCAGTCGAAAAGTGGGAACCCAGTTCGGTCGCAACCGTTACTGGATCCCCCACAAGAGTACCATGGAGGTGAAGGAGCAGTGAGACATCTGGAACAAACCTACCCGCTATCTTGCGGATTTTCTTCCAGATCTGCGGCAGAGGAGTATCGGACAAAGTGGTGGAAACAAAATTTCCAACTCTCACGTTTAGCTGTATAGATGGTCCTACAGGCCACCACACTCACTTTCCGGAAGAAAATAAAAGAAGCAGCCGTCTGCCGGCGTTGGTGTTTCTTCCAGGCTGCACACTTACAGTGGACAGCCCGAGCACAGTCCACATTCCACCCAGGAATGCACTTCTGCATGCCCCGGGAGGTAGAGCGAGGAATAGAGCAGAGGGCAGCATCGAATATGGTGTCATGAACAAGGAGGAGGGCTCGAGGGAGAGGCAAAGTGGAGAGGTCAGAAAGAGTAGCATGGAGGGTGAAGAGATTCCAATAAGCCTTGGCAAACTGCCACCTAGGAAAGGAGAGGGGAGGGTGAAAAGAGAAAGTGGAGACAGGGATGGGGAAATGGTCACTGTTATGGAGGTTATCAAGAACCCACCACTTAAAATCTAAGTAAAGAGAAGACAAGCAGAGAGAAAGATCAAGACAGGAAAGGATGTGAGTGTGGGAGTCCACATGAGTGGGTTCATCAGAATTTAGAAAAGACAGAAGAAGAAGAAGAGAGAACAAATGGTTTGAGAAGGCAGCCCCGGGTGTTTGTCAGAGCATCACCCCAGAGGGTATGCCGACAGTTGAAATCACCCAACAGGAGCACAGCTTCTTGTAAGTAGTCCAACAGGTGAATAAGATCAGGAAGCGAAAGCGGGATATTTAGGGAGGAGATAAATGGAACGGACCATATACCATTTATTCACAAAGATACGGGCCACAGAACATTGGAGAGGCAATGGAAAAAGTAGGGGGACGAAGGGAATATCAGTACGGATCAAGAGAGCAGTAGAATTATGGGCCCCAGCAGAAGCTGGAGAGGGGGAGGGATGGAAAGAGAAGGTAATAACCACGAAAGTGACTAGGACGAGCACCAAGCATCGGCTCCTGGGGACAGACACAAAGTGGTGAGAACTGTATTATCAAAAGTTGAAGTTCATGGAAGTTGGCATAAAATTCCCAAATATTCCATTGAAGAATAGACATTATCCAAAGGAGGAAAAACAGCAACAGAGAACAATGAAGAGACAAAGGTAAAGAAGAGCACAGTATACTAAAGAAGACCAGGACCAGGATCAGTGAAATCAGGGTTAGGGGGCAAGGATAAATTTAGCAAAGACGATGGAGGTGAGGGAGTGGGACGACGGACAAGGTCCAGGGCTGAAGGAGGAAACGGAGAGGAACGGTCAAGAGAATCAAGGGGAAGGGGGGGGGAGGGCAGAAGCAAGGGAGCACACTGCATCAAGGGCAGCAACCAAGACAGCATCGGAGGCTAAAGAAACGCCATAGTCAGGACAGAGGGCTCGACCACCGAAATGGGAGGGGATGCAGTGTTAAAGTCGGAGTCAGAGGGTGGGGAAGTAGCGACACCTTTTTACCTGCCTGGGAGGAAGAAGGAAAGGAGCCAGGCTTATGCTTCCGACTTAAAGAGACAGGTGTGCCAGCAACAACGTACTGGGGCGTCAAGCTCCATAGTCTCAACAGGAAAAGAACGGGAGAAACCAACATGAAGATTGCCGGGAGGATGGTGGACAACAGCCTGGACAGACAGGCGGCGGGGAGAGTCAAGGAACAGATGGGAGGGCTGGGAAGAAGGATCGGGGGGATATGGGAAAGAAGACACGGCAGACTGGGGAGGTAGGACGCAAATACCAGATGGAGAACGAGGAGGAGGACCCCCGTGGTTCAAACGTAAGGGAGCAAGTGAGGTGGAGGTGGGTGTGTCCAGGTCTAAGGCTGGAAGCGGTTGTGAGACTGAGAAAGGAAGGAAGGGCGAGGAGAGGTGGAATGCAGAACACAAGCATAAAATACGTTAGCGAAAGAGGAGTTATGGCAGACTTGGTGCTTTGCCTCAGGAAAAGACAAACGATGGCGGTGCTTTAGATTGAGGATGGCTTCTTCAAATTTGTAGTGTACACCCTTGTGGGAGAAGGAAGGGTGGGCATCAGCACAATTGAGGCAGTAAGCCTGGGAAGAAGATCACTTAGCTTTAGAGTGATCTGAGTCCCCACACATGGGGCATAGACATACCACACTTGTGCATTTGAGGGCATCATGACCAAATTTCCAGCACTTATTGCAAAACCTAGGAGAGGGAATGTACTCCTGAATGGAGCATCTGGCACCAGCAATAATTACAGAAGGAGGAAGGGTTCTGCTCCTGAAAGTGATCTTCACAACTTGAAGAGACTGGCGGCGACAATCACGAGGGGGTCGAGTGAACGTATCAACGTGGAGGAAAGAATGGCCTTGGGCTTCAAGGATATGTTTAATATCCTCGTGCCAGTCTTTCAGGGTCCTAACACCAGTCTAACATGGTTCGGGAGGATAACAGTGCCAATACTGGCATTTAACTGGGCATTTTTGGAGACCCTGACATGAGTCTCCCCAATGCTGGACAAGGTGGCTAAGTGGGTAGCTGCATCCTGAGAAGGAGCAGCAACGACATGCATACCAAAACGGGGTGGAGTTAAAAGTAACAGATGCATCCACCGAATCAATGAGGTGTTTATGGAGGAAGAAAGTGTCAGGAACTGTAGAATCTAGATGGTTGAGATCAAAGTAGCAAGACCAAACAAGGAGTGGTACATATTAGTACGGGTGGGAATCGTGCGAGTGTGGCTGTGGCAGGGTCGGCATTGAGAACCCCCAGAAAGAGAGGGGGTAAAAGGAGCAGTAGTCACAATGAGAGACAGAGCCGTGCCAGGGAACGAGGTGGTCACCACTGGGGACTTAGGGTTCGACCCTACCATAGAGGAGGGAGGGGAGGAGGGGGGGAGTAGTTTGGTCTGGGCCCAATGTAGCGGGGGCTACAGAGCCTGGTCTTCCACCACAGTCCAACTCAGGGGCCTGGTCGCCCACGCCATTTGCCTGGGTAAGAGAGGTCGTTTTGTTTTCCATATATCATGCATTTTAAAAAGTCTGGGGCCTAGAACCAAGGGATACCACCTACCA